GAGATGTGAAAAACTCTAGGTGGAGACCAAGGGGAGGGGCAGAGTGTGCCCTCAGTTCGTGTGCACTAGAGGAAGTGATATTTGCACAGTAGTCAGGGTCACATGAGTGATCATGGTACAGCAAGAAGTTCTCCCTCCCAGGGCCAGGTCACAGGGTTTGTTTCTGTTCAATCCGGATTCTTCCAGTAAAAGCTTCAACTTTCCACAGTGAGCGGAGAGCCTCCCAAAGTGCTGGCTACCTGCTGAGCGCCCCTGTAACTCTGACACAGTAGTAATTTGAGCCTCTGCAATTGCCGTCTGCTTCCTTTGAAAGTCCCTTCCTTGCCCACTGACCCTTGAGTGGGCCTTTGAGCTGCTGACTTTCAGCTGGAACTTGAAGGTAAGAATACGGCTTAAAAGAAATTCTATACCTAACTCTTAATTGATTCTTTTTAACCTTTAGCCACATAGGTGTGACTTTATAGATGCATTTACTCAAACCAGGAAAGATCCTAAGAATCTGATAAAATAATATAAAAGAGTTTTGTAACCAACAGCTTCCAGCCTAAACATTCAGACCTAGATTCAGGACCCCAGACAATCACCTCCAAAGGCTCTCTCCCCTATAATACTATCTCTGTCTTCCACCCTGATCTTTTCCCAGATACACTCTCTGCCCATCCTCCTCCACGGCCAGCTCAACTTCTCTGGCCAAGACTATTTCTTCTTCCATGAGAGTCCTCCTCTTATGCCAGCCATTGACTAAGACACATGCTGGGCCTGCAAGGGGACTGAACCAGATCCTGTGCTCCAGGGGTCCAGACTTATAAGCAAGTAACTATAGGACATGGAGTAAGAGCTATAAAATTTTGCACACAAAATACTATAAGATCCCATGGAAAGGAGCGATTACTTCTGTTTACAGAGTCAGGGATGCTTCCACAAAGGAGGCCATAGTGATCTGGCCTGATAGGATGAAAAGGTTCCTGCTGGCTGCTCAAGGGAAAATGTGTGTGTCTAAATGACTGACTCTTCAAGGACAGGAACCATGTGCTGATGTGGCCCAGCAATGAGGGACTTGGGGAGGGTGAGAAGGACTTGGGACTTCTCCTGTGGGAACTGGCAGATCCCTCTGCTCCCACTGCACTACCCAGCTGCCCCAATCTCTTGCCGCATCTCCTTCTCCCAGCTTTAGCCGGGTTCTATCACTCCCCGTGCAGGCCTCCAACAAGAGCAATACAGTGGGATCCATAGCACACTGGACAGCGAAGCCCTTAACTGCCCTGGTCCTCAGCAGCAGGTGCCCTTCTGCACACACTCACAGCCATGCCCATGCCCTCGGTCATCAGCTACCTGCCCAGAGCACAACACCTACCACAGATGTGTTGGTCAATGTGTTGCATGAATGATTCTCAAGACATTATTTCCAGGCCAGAGCCCTAAGCTCACATGTACACCTGCCTACAGGTGTACATTAGGAAGACCCACAAATACGTCAGACTCAACCCCAGAATTGGACTCACCATTCCCCTCACCCCCACCCTATGGAGAACCTTCTCACTGTGTCCTTACATGGTCTTTCCTCTATGTGCACACATCCCTGGTGTTGCTTTGTGTGTCCTAATCTCCTCTCATTACAAGGATACCAAATTGGAATGGGTCTCATCCTAGTGGCCTCATTTTAACTTAATCACCTCCTCAAAGACATTATCTCCAAATACAGCCACATGCTAACATACTATGGATTAAGACTTCAACATACGAACTTAGAGAGACACAATTCAAACCATGATAACATCCATCTTAGACCATTTTGTGTTGCTATAACCAAATACCTGAGGCTGGGTAATTTATAAATATAAGAGGTTTATTTTGAATCATGATTCTGATGGCTGAAAAGTCCAAGAGCATGGTGCTGGCATCTGCTCAGCTTCCGGTGAGAGCCATGCTGCATCAAGACGTGGTGAAGAAATAGAAAGGCAAGTGAGCATGTGCAAAGGGACCAAACTCACCCACTTCTGGGAGATGGCATTAATCTGCTCATGTGGAATCCACCCTTATGGCCCAAACACCTCTCACAAGACCCCATCTCCCAGCACTGCTATACTGGCAGTTAAACCTCAACAGAGAGTTTTGGTGGGGACTAACCACATCCAAACCACAGCAGTATCCAAAGAGTATAAAATTTTGTAATTTTACATTTATATATATATATATACTTTTTGTTCGTAACTATGTATAAATAGTTTTCTATAACTATGACTGCCATAACAAATTATCAAAAATTTAGCAGCTTAAAACAACACAAGTTTATCCAAACAGGTGTCTCTGCATAAAATCAAGGTGTTGGCAGGGCTGTGTTCCCTTCTGGAGGCTCTGAAGAAGAATCCCTTCCAAGCTCATTCTGGTTGTTGGCAGAATTCAGATTCATGTGGCTGTAGGACAGAGGTCCCATTTGCCTGTTGATTGAGGTTCATTCTCAGCCTCTGGAGGCCATGCTTTGTCTTGTGTTCCCCTTTGTCTCTAAGCCATCAATGGCAAGTTGAGTCCTTCTCATGCTTCCAAACTCTCCAGTCACTTCTTTTGCCACATGACTCTCTGACTGGCTCCTCTGCACCCTTGCCCACTTTTAAGTGCCCTTGTGGTCACATTAGGCCCACCTGGATAATACAGGACGTGCTCATGGCCTTAAGGTTCTTCTTTTTTTTTTTTTTTTTTTAAAGACAGTATCTCGCTTTGTCACCCAGGCTGGAGTGCAACCTCCACCTCCCGGGTGGAGGCCATTCTGCTGCCTCAGCCTCCCAAGTAGCTGGGACTACAGGCGTGAGCCACCACGCCCGGCCTGCCTTAAGCTTCTTAACCTGAATTCCACATGCAAAGTCCTTTGCCACACAATGTAATATATTAGGAATTAGGACGTGGACATCTGTAGGGCCGTTATTCTGCCTACAACAATATACATTTGAAAAAGACAGAAATACAACTCTGTGTGATAGATGTTTTCCTTGTACATTTGGACTTTTTCCAAATTTTCTGCAATGTATACCTTTAAATTCACAATAAAAAAACAAGAGGCTGTGATCCTGGGCAAGTTATTGATCATGTAACACTCAGCTTCCCCACATTTATGAGGGTGATAATTATTCCTTCCTAATAAAATTGTCATATGAATTAAGAGAGAAAAAGAAAAGTCCATGAAGGACCTAATATAGAAGGCCTGCAAGAAATGTTTATTCTTATCCCTCCTCTTCTGAATTTGATCACACCGTAATCTCAAGAGTACTGTCCAAACTCCACCTTCTTTGATGTATTATAAATACAACTGCTTCTCATATTTGAAATTTTTCAGAAATAATTTGCCTTTCATTTTCCGAAAATTGTCTTCATCTTAAAGGGCTCAGCTCAATCTGGAAGCAGAAGCCACCATGAAAACTGGCCTCGCTCATCTGGGCACTTGGTTTTCTCATCTATTCCATGAAGCAGCTGGGCTAGATTATTTTATTCAACCTCTAGCAAGCATGTACTGTTACATTTTCTGTAAGGACCCTTTCAGTTCTGAAGTTCTATCACTCATATTCAGCAAAAGTTAAAATAAATTAATGTATACAAGGCACTCAGCCCAGCGATGGTAAATTGAAGTGTTTGATAAATGTTAGCTTTTAACTACTAATTCATTAGTAGTAGTAGTAATAAATGTCTTCTGGAACCCCAGTAGCCAGTAGCCCGTTATCCTTGAGTAATAGTGGCGTACTTCTTCTGCTTTCTCCTTTTGGTGCATTTAAAACTCTTCCCTCAATATAACAATGACAAAACACACACACACACACACACACACACACAATGCAAAACTGGGTAAAGGAGATATTTCTCCTACAAATGGCCAATAAGCACATGAAAAGATGCTCAACATCATTAATCATTAGGGAAATGCGAATCAAAACCCCAATGAGCTATTTATCACCCCACACCCATTAGGATGGCTATTATCAAAAACAAAAAAGCAAACAAACAACACAGGAAACAACAAGTGTTAATGACAATTTGGAAAAACTGGAACACTTATGCACTGCTTGTAAAAATTTAAAATGGTGCAGCTGCTGTGTAAGATGCTGTAACATTTTCTCAAAATATTAAACATAGAATTACCAGATGATCTAGCAATCTTGCTTCTGAGTATATACCAAAAAGAATTGAAAGCAATAATTCAAAGAGATATTTGTACATCGATGTTCACAGAGACCTAATTCACGACAGCCAAAAGTTTCCATCAACAGAATGAATGGATCAACAAAATATAGGCTGGGCATGGTGGCTCACGTCTGTAATCTCAACACTTTGGGAAGTCAAGGTGGGTGGATCACCTGAAGCCAGGAGTTCAAGACCAGCCTGGCCAACATGGTAAAACTCTGTCTCTACTAAAATTACAAAAATTAGCCAGGCATGGTGGTGGGCACCTGTAATCCCAGCCACTCAGGAGGCTGAGGCATGAGAATCGCTTGAACGCTGGAGGCAGACGTTGCAGTGAGCCAAGATCATGCCATTGTACTCCAGCCTGGGCAACAGAGTGAGACTCTGTCTCAAAAAATAAAAATGGTATATACCTACAGTGAACTAAGGAAGGAAATCCTATCACATGCTACAACACAGATGAGACTTGAAGAGATTAAGCTTTAGATCAAGTTTTCAATTAAGCATAAGATTAAGCTTAATTAATAAGACATTCACAAAAGGACATATTATGTGATTCCACCTAAATAAGGTATATAGAGTCCATAGAGCAATAGAGTAAAATGGTGGTTGCCAGGAGCTGAGGGAGGGGGAATGGGAAGTTATTGTTTAACGGATACAGACTTTCTGTCTGGGAAGATGAAAAAAATTCCGGAAAAGGATGGTTATAATGATTGCACAACAATGCGAATGTACTTAATGCCTCTGAACTGTACGCCTAAAGACAGTTAAAATGATCAATTTTGTATTAAGTGTATTTTACCACAACTTCTTTAAAAATCTCCTCTATTCTTTTCCCATAGGGACCCCCAACGCTGAGACACTATGGCCCTGACCTCAGAGTTGGGGAAACAGATAAAACTGAAAGAGGTGGAGGGGACCCTCCTGCAGTCTGCAACTGTGGACAACTGGAGCCAAATCCAGAGCTTCGAGGCCAAACCAGATGATCTCCTCATCTGCACCTACCCTAAAGCAGGTGACTGCAGGGCAGGAGGGACAGCAAAGACCTGCTGAGCCAGCACCGGCTTGTCACTTAAGTTAGAATTCCCCTTGATAGGAACCTGCTCCTTCTTATTGTTCCACAGTGGGGTTCAGAGCTCAGGACTCATGCAGGATGCCTGATATCCCTGGGGTTTTCCAGGAAAGCTGCTGTGCTCTGCCATGCACTGGTCCTGGGTTGGGGGAGCCTTGCCTGTGCTGCTGCACTCCCTACAGAGATCAAAGTCCATCCCTCATGGACTTCCATCACTCATGGCTAACAGGATCCTGACCCGAGGGGAGGCTGATGCGAACACCAAGCTCTACATCCCCTTTGTTTACTCAGGACTCTTCAGGGAAGATTGTCTAACAGGTTTCTCCTTCTCACCCTTCCTTTCTGAGCCTCAGGGACAACATGGATTCAGGAAATTGTGGATATGATTGAACAGAATGGGGACGTGGAGAAGTGCCAGCGAACCATCATCCAACACCGCCATCCTTTCATTGAGTGGGCTCGGCCACCCCAACCTTCTGGTGAGAGCACCTCCCTCTTTCTTTCTTCCCACTTTCTTTCACTCTCTCTTCTGTTTTCCCCTGTCTTTTCTCACTTTTGTCTTCTCTCCTCTCTCTCTCTCTCCCCCCCATCCTTCCTCTTCTCTCTCTCCCTCCCTCTCTCCTTACTCTTCTCTTTCTCTTTCTCTCTCATTTTCACTGTCATATGTTTCTTCCTTTTATCTTCCTCTCATCCTCTGTCTACATATTATTTAAGATTTTTTGCCAAAAGTGAATCACCAAGTGAAAAGGGTGTGTGCTAGGGGCAGATTCTGCCTTGTTTTCTTCTTAAGCCCTCCTTCTGATCATGTGCAACTGTAGGACATACTGAAGATGTGAGAAACTGTAAGCCATTTATTCCCTCTTCTCTCTGTACCCCAACCTGATAAAACCCAGTGCAGCCAAGAGAGTATCCAAGAATCAATAATTCACACACACACACACACACACACACACACACACACACAATTGCATTTGGAACCAATTATTTCTATTCAATAGAGAAGACTTTTCAGGTAATGCTCAACCTGGAAGTGTTTCTCTTCACATCAAAAAATAAAGGAAGCTAAAAAATATAACCAGAAGGCTATATTTCAGGTAACTAGAGCTGCTGGAACTATTTTGCAAAACAAGGATAGGAGGAAGGCCTACTTCCCCAAGTTGCAGCATTGCAGAGATCCATGTGATAGAAAACCAGAAGCACAGTAGCTGAAGCTATGAAAATACAGTCGATGCAGCTCTAGCATGAAGTCTAGACTTGGAGCAACTGTAGACAGAGGTCCGATAAATCCCTAAAAATGTCCTGAGATAGAAAGTCCCTGATCTGATGCATACAAGACACTTGTAACCTGTACAAGGAGGCGTCTCCAAGTCAGAATAGCCTTAAAGGATTTTGCTCTCCCCTATGATCCCACCATCCACCCCTGTGGCTCCTCTGGCTCTCAAAGAGGAGAGAATGGTCACTAGGTAGGTAACCACCGGCTTTGTAACCCAGCGCCCTGCTCTGAACTACCTGTGGGGCTCTGACCCCATAAACAGGCCAGACTCTGCCTGCTTAACCATGGTCTCACTCCATGTGCCATCAGGGCCTGCTGTTTTGTGTGTGTCTGGTCTTCTGCTCCTTGAGCAGCAGGATGGTATAATAGTTAAGGACGACCAGGGTTTAAATCCTGACTCCATCACTCACCTCACAATGTTTACATAACCTCTCTGTGTCACAGTTTCCTTAGCTGCAAAGTGTGGATAGAATCAAGGCCTATCTCAAAGAGTTGTTGTGAGCATTAACAAATCCAATACAGGTAAAAAGCCTGAAGCATTGCCTGACACTCAGAGGATACTATCTACGTGTTAGGTATCTTTACTAACCATCTCTCTAGGCCCGCATGACCCCATGTGTTCCCTAATTATCTAAGACCAGCATTTTTTGTTTATTTAAAGATGGAGGCTAGCTCTGTCACCCAGACCGGAGTGCAGTGGTGCCATCATAGGTCACTGCAACCTGGAACTCCTGGGCTTAGGCAATCTTCCCACCTCAGACTCTTGAGTAGCTGGGACTACAGGTGAGCACTGCCACACCTGGCAAAATTTTTAATTGTTTGTAGAGATAGGGTTTCGTTATGTTTCCTAGATTGGTCTCAAACACCTGGCTTCAAGCAATCCTCCTGCCTTGGCCTTCCAAGCCACTGGGATCACAAACATGAGCCACCAGACCCAGTCCAAGAACAGCTTTTGATCTTTGTTCTACCTCCTGCCCCTGCTGCTGCCCAGTGTCTTACCTCTGATAATGTGAGAGATTAAAGAAAGAGGAGAGGCCTAAGCAAGATTTCTAATGAAGTATTCTTAGCAGTAGAGAGCAGAGTGTTCAATCACTAAATCAGCATAAAAACCAGGATGGGACTATAGAATTTGGAGAAAGAACGGTAATCAAACAGCCAGCGTGGCATGTTCTACAGAGGAACCCTGGCCTCTTTATGAACGAGGGTGCCCTGTGTGAGAGTAACAAACGGTCTCAGCCTTTATGATCTGCCCGGCCACAGACAGCTGAATGCTGGCTGGAGACTCAGCTGTGCAGTGGTTGGGTGGTTGGTTGAGACGAAGTCTGGCTCTATTGCCCAGGCTAGAGTGCAATGCCGTGGTCTTGGCTCACTGCAACCTCTGCCTCCTGGGTTCAAGCAATTCTCCTGCCTCAGCCTCCCGAGTAGCTGGAATTACAGGCACCTGCCAACACGCCTGGCTAATTTTTGGTATTTTTAGTAGAGTCGGGGGGGTTCACCATGTTGGCCAAGCTGGTCTCGAACTCCTAACCTTGTGGTCCACCCGCCTCGGCCTCCCAAAGCACTGAGATTATAGGCGTGAGCCACCACGACCAGCCAGTGGTTTTCTTTCAGAGCAGATAATCCCTGCCAGCCGAGGTGAGGAGCACCACTGGGAGGAGACCAGGTCCTGATGTAGACTCATGGCTGTTGGTCAAAGGTCTCAACCACCCTTGGAGCATTCTGGAGTGGTCAGGCACTACTGGACAATGGACAAGCTTGTGCTCTGCATCATCAGTCTCCCTTCCAGGCCCCCCTTCTGCTCCTCCATCAACTCCCAGCCTCATAGACGTTCTGTGACAGAAGGGATTACATCTGTGACCCACAAAGAATTGGTTTGGAAAGACTTTGAAAAGACCTGTGTGCATGTGTGTGCATGCATGTGTGTGTGTGAACTGTATATAGGTGAAATCTAGGAATGATCCACTCCATTTCAGCAAACATCTATGCTCAAGGGCCTATGCTGCTCATAAGACTTCACACCTACTTGCCCTCAATAAGTTATGGTCCCATGGAAGAAACCAATGCAGATGATGTAACAACAAGCATGAAGCACTATTGGCAGGGTGAGGGGAACATGGCCAAAGAATAGTTCCTGGAGGTGACACCTGAAATGATAAACTGCTGTCATTACTAATTTTCTGCCTCTGTCTCCTGCCAGACTACATACTCTGATGGCAAGAAACAAGTTCTGTTTGACTTTGTACTCCCATGGGGCTGTTTCTACAGTATTGGCTGAGTTGATTTATCCCACACAGCCACATGCAATTTGGCTCAAATCCCAAGGCTAAAATCTTAGTGCAGCTGATGAAGGCCAAAAATGACCTCGTTTTCCCCCTTCTTTCCCGCTAGTGGGCTTGGGAATGGGCCCTGCAGCCTGGGCTGTGTCATGCACACTCTCCATGCTGTGCTTCTCCACCCTGAGTATGAGCAACCATCATGGTGTTCCTGGTGGGTGAGGCAACCCCATGGGGCTTTTCTGAATCACTGATGAGAGAGAGATGGGGCAAGGGTGTGATGGGACAGAATATACAATGTACCTATGTTCGTAAAAGAAAACACTGGTCAACTGCTTTATGTAAAGCCCCAGCTCCACAGTATCTCTCTCCTATAGGGGTTTTTTGGCAGAAAAATTTGGAGCTGGAGCTGGGCTGAGTCCACCAACAGGGCTGGATCAGGAGTAGGAGCGGACTTTCTTACTTGTCATAGGCAGGAAGGATGACTGTGAGCCATCAGAGGACCATAATGATTGAGTACAGATTTCCCAATTAGAGGACTGGGTCTCTTTTAGGCATTAAGTGGTTACTGCCCATAGGGCATTAAATCAGGTGTAACAGGAAAGAGGAGAGCCACCAGTATCAGGAAGGAAATCAATCGGCCTGCAGATCTCACTTTCTGGCAGATTCCCTGAATTTGCTCCCCAGCTTGGGACTGAGAGTCCAACTCCACCCATAGCCTTCCCTTCTGTCCTCTATGTCTGCTAAGGTTTCTTATAACTTTCATCTCTGTGTTTCTCTACATTGTGCTTCTTTAGCTCTGCTACTGTTTTTCTTTTCAGCTATGTATGTTCTGCTATTTAACCCTACTCATTGTAGGTTTTCATGTCCAAACACTTTATAAATCTTCCCAGTCTTTTTAGTAGTCTCTTGTTTCCTTGATCATGTTTTCAACTTTCTCTTGTATTCCTCTGCACTTTTTTTGAGACAGGGTCTTACTCTGTCACCCAGGCTAGAGTGCAGTGGTGCAATCACAGCTCACTGCAGCCTCAATCTCTCGAGCTCAAACAATCCTCCCATCTCAGCCTCTCGAGTAAGTAGCTGGGACTACAGGTGTGTATCACCACGCCCAGCTAATTTTGGTATTTTTTTTAGAGACAGGATTTCACCATGTTGCCCAGGTTGGTCTCGAACTCCTGAGCTCAAGCAATCCACCTGCCTCAACCTCCCAAAGCGCCAAAATTACAGACATGAGCCACTGCACCTGGTCTTCTTTGCATATTTTAAACACAGTTATTTATATTCTCTATCAGGGACCCAATAATGGAGGTCACTAAGGGTTTAGTTCTTCCACCTGTTTTTTGCTGGCTCTTGTTCATAAGGCTTTTCCCTCATTTGTTTTGTAATTTTGTATAAAAAGCCCTTTTCTCCCTCTCTTGATCTCACACCTACATTGGAACATTTCCAATCTACAATAGTTTAAGTTAACTTCTGGTCCAAGCAGGTAGTATGATTTCATATCCATGCATGTAGTATGAAAACAGGATTGTGGTTATGAGTTCTTAAGAAAGCCTCTTTTTCTGCACCCAGAGGTGAGGCAAGGAAATTACTTTACCTCTCTGTCAGTAGGTGGTGTTTTTCTCTGTCACCTTTCACTGAGGTAGCAGGCATTTGAGTTTCTCCTGCTAATGCATGGGTCTCTGTTCCTAATCTGTGCCTCACTAAAGCCCAGGCCTACCAGCCTCCTCCCTGAGCAGCGGTCACTGAACTGAGGACTGGGTGTCCGGTGGGTGAACCCACTCCGGGCAGCTGTCATCAAAGCCTTTGCCCACTTCTCCATCTTGCAGCTCTCTTCCCTTTTCACTTTGGTCCCTGGAGGCTCCCCTTATTTTCTTATTCTGCACTTAAATGAGTATTTGGTGTTTTAATCAGAATCTGCAGGTGTGTGATTAGCAGAAAAGATCTTCATAATGTTCAGGCCACCATGTCACCAGCACTGAAAGTACTACAGAGACCCTTAAAGAGTGAGCGGGACTGACCAGATGCATAGAGATGAGGGCTGGAGGGAGGCACGGGGGCCTGGGGCAGCAGGACCAGATGTGTAGAGATGAGGGCTGGAGGGAGGCACAGGGGCCTGGGGCAGCAGGACCAGATGTGTAGAGACAAAGGGCTGGAGAGGAGGCTTGAGGGGCTGGGGCAGCAGAACTAGATGGCATGTAGAGATGAGGGCTGGAGAGGCACGGGAGCCTGGGGAGGGAGGCACAGGGGCCTGGGGCAGCAGGACCAGATGTGTAGAGATGAGGGCTGGAGGGAAGCATGGGGGCCTGGGGCAGCAGAACTAGATGTGTAGAGATGAGGGCTGGAGGGAGGCACGGGGGCCTGGGGAAGCAGGACCAGATGTGTAGAGATGAGGGCTGGAGGGAGGCACGGGGGCCTGGGGCAGCAGGACCAGGACACGTGAAAGGACCGAGTGTGAGCTGGCGTAGAGGTGGAGCTGAGGAAACAGACTAGAGGCAGGACAGCTTTGCAGGTCTTCTAAGGAATACGGATTTCAAAAACAGCTAAAGGTAGTTTTCCAACTTTTCTTTTTAGTGCCCAAACACTTTTTCATTTAACAAAAATTACCATGACTACATGATCCAGCAATTCCACTTCTGGGCATGTATCCCAAAGAAATAAAAACATGGTCTCAAACAGATACCTGTACACCCACATTCAAAATCACATTATTCACAATAGCCCAAAGGTGGAAACAACCTGAGTGGCCACCAATGGATGAATTGAGAAACAAGATGTGGATACACATACAATGGAACAGTATTCGGTCTTAAAGAGGAAGGAGATCCTCAGCACTAACTTGACCCAGCTCCTCTGATGTGATTTGCATGAGCCTCTGATTCCCACACCAGAGTGGAAGCTCCTTAGGGAGAAGGTCTGTGTTTTTCTTGTCTTTGTCGCCTTTTCCCCCTAACCTCAGCTTAACACAACGATTGCACAAAGTGCCCATTAAGGCTTTTAAATGAGAGAGCAGAAATCATGACTCACAGGCCAGCAAGTATACATGTTTTTAGAAATGAAACAAGTGATTGCAAACAGGCCAGGTACACGAGACAGCCTGCTGCAGGCACGTGGGGGTCATCTCTGACTGGCAGGAAGGTGCGGGAGGCCTCTGCTCTCTGGTCCTGGCTGACTGTGCCTCAGCAAGACATCACCTGCCCTTTCTCAGCTTCTATCACCTCGTCCTTAAAGTGACAGAGTAAATTAACTCTAAGGCCCCATCCAGGACTCAAGCTGTGTGATTCCATAAAAATGAAAATTAATAATCCCATTGCAAAATCCCAAAAGAAAGTCAAGAGACTAGCAGAAAGATAGGTGGGTGATGGGATATCCTGGACAGAGCCTGCATCATGAGGTCCCCGGGTAGTGCTTGTACTACACAGATGTTTCCTCTTGAACTATTTTAAAGGTGTGGAAAAAGCCAAAGCAATGCCCTCTCCACGGATACTAAAGACTCACCTTTCCACTCAGCTGCTGCCGCCATCTTTCTGGGAAAACAACTGCAAGGTAAGATACCAACAGCTCCCTGTGACAGAAGGGAGAGTAAGCCAACCAAAGAGGGTCCTGCAGACCCCAACGCAGAACATTCGTCATCACCTTTGCCTCTCCACTGTCTCTGATGCTTACCAGCAAACAGAAAAAGTAAAGTTATTCACTCAGCAGGACATTCACCTGAACAGTTTCAAATAGGACATGAAGGCAGGAGCCAGACTACATATTTGGAAGAAACTAGAGAAATGAGGAGGCAGTGAGTGCAGTAAGTGTAGCTGTGAAATGAAGGGGAGAAGATGGTGATCCCAGGCTGCAGGCCATGGGGAGGCTCTCTAACAGACCAGGGAGGGAAGAATGAGAGGAAAAGAGCTAAAGATCTCCCCAAACTGTAAACAGATGAACAGAGCAATGCTCTTGAGGACACCCCACCTCATCCTCTGGTAGATTCTGAGTTCCTTGTTTTATTTATTCTGTGACTTTATTTGTATGCACCGCAGAGCCTAATAAGCTCCTGGCACATAGAGGGCATTAGACACGTGCTTTCTGAGTAAATACGGAAGTGGCTGTAGAGCAAGTAGAGTCAAGGGTGCAAACTGAGCTGCCAGCCTTGGTAAGAAAGTGGGGCACTGTTTCCTTAAAGGCAGGAAGGAAGGGGAAAGAAAGGCTAAGAAAGATATGTTCTGGAGGACTGGAGTGAAGTTGGAGGACTCACATCAAATGACTTCAGTCCTTTCAGTAATGTTAGATAAGGGGACAAAAACTTCCATTTCCAGAACTATGGCAAACTAGGTATTCTGAACCCCTGAAGCACTTATATGTAAAACATCCAGGATTACTGCATTTAAAAAATCACAAGTTTCCTTTTAAATGAATAACTGAGATCAAAATAAAGTCCCTAGGTTTATAAACTGCAGAGGGAACTGAAACTCAGAGAGGCAAGTTGAGACTGGGACTCTCCTGGGGAAATTTGATGACCTCGATAATCCAACAACTTGAGTTTTAATGGCTGCACAGGGACAGGTTCAAAGCCCAGGGCAAAAGGAAGCAGAAGAATGAGGAGCCAAAGCGGGACTGCTGAAGGGCTACATCCTCAATGGATGGGTGGAGGAGGCAGAGGAAGACCTTGGGGAACCACTCTGCCTTGACCTAGGCTCTCAGCTCCCTTGAGAATGTGTAGCCACAGGTTTTCCCTCTCAGGGTTTGAAATTCAAAATTGCACTCCTTGCATTGCACAAGAAACTACAGGCAGAGAATTACACAAGGTAGTCCCCACAGCCAGTGTTCCCAGGTCCTCTCTGGAGGGACACAGCTGCAACTCCGACCCCCATAGGATCCCCTCTTGAGCTCACCATCACACATTACAAAATACACAAAAGAACAAGCCACCATGAGACACAGTCTTCAGAAAGAACCTGTGGAAGAGTCAGACCTCAGGAACTTCAGACAATATAATTATCACCTGTAGAAATAAAAGAAGGTTCAAGTTGTGTGAATAAATGAAAGAGTGAATCAAAAATAAAAAAGAAATAAGATGCTACTTTTAGACACAGAATTATTAAGTGAATAAATGGAATTTCTATAACAAAAAATATAAAATCATGGAAATTAAAAACTCAAGCATAGGGTAAAGTGCAGAACAGCTGCACAGAGAATTAGTGAACTCAGACAGGAAGGTTTGAGGGTAAAGGTTTGAGGAGAGAGGAGAGACCTGTGGCTAGAGCTAAAAGCCAAGAGATGGAGCACGGGAGGGATTAATAAAAGGATTACCAAGCAGCAATGAAGAGGAAGAAAACTGAGGATAAAAAAATTTAGAAACTCGGGGAATTTTTTAAATCAACATTTCTTGAAACCTTCTTTACTGGTGCTTGGCAGCTTGCTAAGTTGGAGAAGAGAAGATGGGCAGTAGGACTTAGTAGACAGTAATAGAGTCAGCGCATTCAGGAGCAGTGTTTCTCAACCTTAGCACTTGCTCTAAAGGGCCTGGGAGTTGATATAATCAGGCATGACAAGACACGCAGGTACAGTGGTGACTGTCATAAGGAAGAAGTGTATCCTCGCAGATCCCTAGAACGGGAGGCATGGCATGTCACACAGAGCCTCACAGGGAAGCAATGGGATAGGTCAGGAGGCAGAGAGAGTGAGTAGGAGACATGAGCAAGAGCCTTGATGTGGTTTCTTTGGGAAGGAACAGATGAGAGAGGGTAAGGAGGCTTGGGATTGGCCAGTTTGAACCATTGTAGCAGGCTTTCAGCCACAGGGGCTGGGCCTAGTCATCTGGTCTCTGACCCTGGGGTGATCAGGGCAGGTGAATAGTGGCCCAGTGTGTAAGAGCCCAGCAGTGGAGGTGTTGGGGGTGTAGGTTCTGGGGTGTTGTAGGCAGTTCCTCCAGAGTCGGCAAAACCCGAGGATGTCAAAGTATCAGATGCAGAATATAAAAGACATAATTAATACAGCAGTCCTGACATTTGGGGCAGATTTTTCTCTCTTGTGGGTGGGAGCAGGGGGACCCTTCTGTGTATTGTAGAATATTGAACAGCATCCTTGGCCCCTGCATGGATGCCAGTAGCACCACCACTCCAAGTTGTGAAACCAAAAATGTCTCCAGACATTGCCAAATGTCCCTTAGTGGACACAACCATCCCATCATCCCCAGTTGAGAACCACTTAAAAGTGAACGAATGAAAAAGCACAGCATTGAAATAGCCGCTCATAGATCTGAGATGTGTAGTCAAGAGGCCCATTTGGGATTGATGCTGTTAAAATGTGAACTGAGTACTGGATAAAAGGTCAGATTTGTTGGGAGGGTGGAGGGATGTGAAGTTGTGAGCAAAGTGGAACTTGAAGGGACGTTTGTAGGGGCAGAGCTGAAATGATTAGAGATGGAAATCATTCAAGCTGAGGAGGCCAGAAGAAAAATAGAAGCTATTTTCTTGCTCTGTGACTCAAACTCTTAAACGTGAAGCTTCTGTGCATCTTTGGGAGGGTGCGAGAGGGGTCATCAGTTTACGCTGATACAGTGGAAGTCTCCTATTCACGTGGCAGGTCATAGTTTATAGAGAAAGATTTTGCTCCTGATACCAAAGGGGCAATCGGGCAATCTAATCCTCAACAATCCCTAATTGATTAGCTAATTAAAAGGACTGAGTTTGAAGTAGAGAGCAGACTGGTGATGAAGCAGAGACAGAAAGAAGAGAGAGGTCACAAAACCAAGTCATAGACCAGCACCACAGAACTGAGCCAGAGTGCACAGCAACCCGCAGGATGGCTCTGCCTAAGGGAACTCTGTGAAAGTCCACTTTTTATACCATCTTTTACCCATCTCTTTTCTTACCCCGAAGTTCCTTTATGTAGCTCGAAATGCCAAAGACTGTATGGTTTCCTACTACCATTTCCAAAGGATGAACCACATGCTTCCTGACCCTGGTACCTGGGAAGAATATTTTGAAACCTTCATCAATGGAAAAGGTACAGGAACATCCTTCACACCCTTGCATTCTCACTCCAGCTAAGTTGGGTCTAGGGAACCACAGGTAGCATTTTATCCCCTAGAATGCCTGTACCTCATCAGGTGTGTCCTACCACAGACTGGGACTGGGCAGAGCAAGCTGGCCACTTTCTAAGTACATGCCTACAGCCCTCAGCAAACATCTTCCACCTGATTCAAAGCCTTTAATTAGAGTCATCCTCTTCCAAAGGGTGTCCTTGTCCCTATGTGATTGCACATAATAGACAGGAAGTCACTTTAGGGAAGATGTTGGGGCAAGTAACTCCAAGGCTGTCCCCATCTACATCACCCTCAAAATCAAACAGATCAGAACTCTTATGACATATCTAACCCAGAATTTGGGTTTTCTCTCTCTAACTCACAGGAAAATCCCTAACACTCACAAGGCTTTGTACGATGCCTACATAGACCATTCTGTTTCTTGTGTCTATTTCAGTGGTTTGGGGTTCCTGGTTTGACCATGTGAAAGGATGGTGGGAGATGAAAGACAGACACCAGATTCTCTTCCTCTTCTATGAGGACATAAAGAGGGTGAGTGAAGGCTCTGCAGAAGAACCATTTTAAAGTGGTTCCTCAGGTGCAGAGAAATTCAAAATTGTTTCAAAGGACATCCCAGAGAATTGTAGTATTTCTTTCTGATACTCTCAGACATTCCAGTCCAATGTTACCCTTGCCACAGGACCCAAAGCATGAAATTCGGAAGGTGATGCAGTTCATGGGAAAGAACTTGGATGAAACAGTGCTAGATAAAATTGTCCAGGAGACGTCGTTTGAGAAAATGAAAGAAAATCCCATGACAAATCGTTCTACAGTTTCCAAATCTATCATGGACCAGTCAATTTCCTCCTTCATGAGAAAAGGTGTGTGGGGCCTCTTTATCATACACTCAGATTGTCTTGTAACATCCTGCCTGCCTCTTAGCATACAATATTGAGTTTTATTAACTCCAAGACAATGCACTTCAACTATTCCTAATATGTGTTTCTAATAAAAGCAGGAATTTGATCCTGCTGTAAAAGAGAGCTGTCTAGGGTATTGCACCAGTATTTGGTTGCAAGGAACAGAGAGTCCCTCAAGCCAGCCCCAATGAAAGGGGCTTACTGTGAGGATTCACACTGGACAATAAAGGAAATGCAATCACATAGAAAACGAGGAAGAGAAGCCACCACTGGTCCAGACCTCCCAGGGGCCCCTGGATCTCAGGGTCCAGGACTCAGCAGCAGGAGAGATGAGTCTTACAGGACTTGACTTACAGGACTCGGCTGCTTTTCACGTATCTATTAGGCATGGCTTCCTCTGCTGACCAGCTTCCCGTCTCTCCACCCATCACAACTTTCTCCCTCTTTATAACTTCTGATGACTCAGTTTCTGCTCATAACTTGGTCTTAACCCTTGCCCAAACCTGCTCTACTTCATGAGTTTCAACAACTACTGTTGAGAACTGCCTCATCCTCAGTATTTCTTAGTTACAGTTCCCAAAGGAGGAATTCTAATTGGCCCATCTAATATTTTTTAAGAAAAAAACTTTATCACTTTCTAATTTAAAAAGCAAAACATATCATTGTTAAATATTAAATTGGGCTGGGCAGATTGATTCATGCCCATAATCCCACATCTTGGAAGGCTGAGGCATGAGGATTGCTTGAGGCTAGGAGTTCGAAAGTAGCCTGGACAACACAGCAAGACCCCATCTCTACAAAAAAAAATTAATTAGCTGGGTGTGGTGATGCATCCCTGTATTCCCAGCTTCTCAGGAGGCTGAGGTGGGAGGATCACTTGAGCTCAGGAGTTTGAGAATGCAGTGAGCTAGGACCTTGCCACTGTACTGCAGCCTGGGTGACAGAGCAAGACACCAGCTCTTCTTAAAAACTAAATTAAATTGGCTGGGCATGGTGGCTCATGCCTGTAATCCCAGCACTTTGGAAGGCCCAGGCAGGCGGATCATGAGGTCAAGAGATCGAGACCATCCTGGCCAACATGGTGAAACCCTGTCTCTACTAAAAATTTAAAAGTTAGCTGGGCATGGTGGTGCATGCCTGTAGTCCCAGCTGTTCAGGAAGCTCAGGCAGGAGAATCACTTGAACCCAGGAGGCAGAGGTTGCAGTGAGCCAAGATCATGCCACTGTACTCCAGCCTGGCAACAGAGCAAGACCTGTCTCAATAAATAAATAAATAAAATCAATATAAAATTATATTTTTTAAAAGTCTCTCCACCAAAACTCCACCTCCAAGAAGTAACTACCAACAGTATGGAAGTCCCTTTCTCTCTCATTTATAACATACACATTTTTTATTCACAACAGTGAAATCATGGTATACACACCACTTTGAAACATCTTTTCTTCTTCCTCTTTGATTTTGCATGTGCTTGAATTTATGTTGTTGCATTTTCCAATCTACAAGAGTGTTCCATACCAAACCAAACAAACCAAAAAAAATTCTACCCCTTTTCTCTTTAGATAATCAGTGGTAATGATTTGTCAAGGTGCCCTTCTTCAGGCTCATACATAACCATCTTTCTATACACTCTACTTCTTCAGACTCATACAGACACAAAGATATGTAACCATAATGAAAGCTTGCCCCCTAAAATGCAGAATGGGGTCATATTTTATACCTTTACTTATCAGGATATGTGAAACCCCTCCAGGGCAAGGCAGATAGACTCATACACCTCATTGATTTTTTGGTCCAATGTTATACAAAGCTAAGGATAGATATGTCATAATTCATCCAACTATTCCCTTAATGATAGACACTATAATTATTGTTGTTTTCAATGTTTGTTTTTATGCATAATGTTAAAGTAAATATTTTTGTGCATAAATTATTATTTCCTGATGCTTTTATTTCTGTTGCATAATTTTCTGGAAGAGGCATTGGTGAGGAAAATAGTATTTCCCCTGTTTAAAATTAGTTTAAGTTGTTGTTTGGTGAAAAATAGTATCTCATTCATATTTTTGCAAAATTGTTTTTTATTGAGATAGAATCAAAATACCAAAAATGCACAGATCTTAGGTATACGGTTCAACCCATTTTGATAAATATATACACCCACACTACCAGCACCCCAATCAAGATAGGAAACATTTTCATCACCCCAGAAAGTTCCCTCTTGTGCCCCTTTTCAGTCAATGTCTACCCCCGGAGACAACCATTTTTCCTATTTCTATTACTCTAGATTGATTGTGCCTGTTGCTGGACTTCACATAAATGGAATCTCACAGTATTTACTTTCTTGTGTCTGGTGTCTTTTGCTCAACATAATGTTTTGAGATTCCTCCATGTGGTTGTGTGTCTGTAGTTCATCCTTCTTTTATGTCTTTGTAGTAATCCATTGGGTAAATACACTATAGGTGGGGCCAGGTCATGCAGGTCACTAGCTGCCTTGGGTCAGTTGTCCAGCTGACTTAGAAGTCCATCCCCTGCACAGAGTCCCCTAGGACTGTTTCTTATTGAAGAGTTGCTAACGGACAGGTGTCCACTGAAGCGGGAGATGGGTGAGTCAGGTACGTGGACAGGCCAGATTCAGTACGGGCACTACACCACTTTACTCAGGGACACCACATCTTTCAATCAGAGAGTGACACGCCTGTCTTGGCTTCCTTTTTCTAGGAACTGTGGGGGATTGGAAAAACCACTTCACTGTTGCCCAGAATGAGAGGTTTGATGAAATCTATAGAAAAAAGATGGAAGGAACCTCCATAAACTTCTGCATGGAACTCTGAGCAAGATGTAAACACAATTAAAAGGTGGATGGCAACAGTGCAAACACTATCTTCAATCCTTCAGTCCTAGCCAGAAGAATCTCTGAAAGCATATTGTGAATGTATATGATGTAGTACAAACGATCTCTGTAATGATTAACAGTATGTCACTGCTTCATTTTTAAAAAGGGATCATGTCTAATGCCCATTTTCCCAACTATTCTTTCCAAAGTAAGATATAAGATAGCTTAATAAACTAAGTAAAACATATGACTTGAATACAAAAAGATTGTTTCAGTCCCCATTATTCTGGAAAGTGTGTCCTAGTCTCCCAGTCTATAATATCATACTACCTTGAATATAAGTCCAAATATTAGGCTATATCTATATTAATAACAAAATGTCTGGCATCTGTCCTGACCATTCAGGCACCTCCAGCCTGGGCTCAATCCTGGAGTTCTGTCTGGTCACTATCAGAAGGAACACTACACTTTGAGGGCAACCCTGGTGCAGCCAGCCCTGAGGAAACATGGCCTGAGTGCCCTCACGGGTGGGTGGGAATAAAACGGAAGTGCACAGAGGAGATATCAGAAGACCAAAACCTGGTTAATAGTCCTAGTGCTAGGTCCTATAGGAAACAAAAAGCATGATGGTGGCCTTTTGGGAACCCAAGTTGTGTCCTGGTGAAAGCAGAAAGGTGGAGACAGGATGGCAGTCAATGTCAGCATGGGCATGGCTCCCAGGCATGGAGGTAATTGGGTCTTGGCTTCAATGCCACCCTTTTGGGAAGCCCTAAACCAAGTGAGGTGTTCTTTTCCCATGCTTCCCGTATTTGTCCCAGTTGCAGCTGTGTTGTTATGTATTTACTCAGCAATTTCTTATCTATACCTCTCACTTAATTGTTAATTTTTTGGGGTTCAGTCTCATGCAGTATTTACTCCTAGTACCTAATACAGTGCCTGGCACACAGCAAGTGCCCTTGAGAACTTGTAGAGGGAGTTAAAAAATGCATGGATAAATGACTGCAACAAATCACAGATTTTCAACTTTGACCCTTTTAGTCCCAAATAGTGGCATTCCATAGCTGAGGGGAATAGGAGCAGTTCACCCTGGGAGCAGGCAATAAGAGGAATAAATGAAGCCAACTAAAATTCTGACTGCTTTTTGTTGGATTTCAAAGGGTGTTTTTTTTTTAATTGGGTCTTGCTATATTGCCTAGGCTGGTCTCAACTGACTGCTTTTTATTATTACCATGCACTGGCAATTCCAAACAATGTCAGTGTTAAAATACTTCTCCCTGAAAAAAAAAAGATTTAAAAAGCAAAAAAAGAAAAGAAAAGTGAAAAGAAAAGAAAAACTCCTATTGGCCTAAGTTCTAAATAATAGCTAGGTTACTACTGAGTTTTAACTATATGCATGTGAGCTTCAAATAAGCACCTTTTTATTATGTAAATAAATAAAAGTGATCTGTATCTCCACTAGATTGTAAAATTTTTGTTGTTTGGCTTCATGTCTCATTCACCTGTGTATGGAAATTAATTCAGAAACCCCAGGCATAGAGTCTACCTCTATAATTCCGGCAGGTAGATGCAGTTCTGCCTCCTTCCTTCCAAGGTTAAGTTCATAACAATTCTGAATCCTTGAAGCTCACTTCAGGTATAACCTGTATCTCCAACCTTGCAATATTTGGATATTGCTGTTTAAACAGTAGATTTGGCATAGATGATGGTAGCACAATAGTTGTAAAGGAAAAGAAGCAGAACACATGAGTTTGTTCAATTCTCTCATTCTCTGAAATGACTTGGGGTTTTCAGTTGTATCCAGAATTTAAAACAGTAAAATTTAAGAGTGTGAACAGCAACATTCACACCTTTGTTTAGTAAGTACAAAGTTGTCCTCATACAGGAAGTTTACTGACTTTGAATAATAACTTTAAAAGCAAAATTTACTCTTTTCTAAGTGTTAATTTGTTTTAAAATTTAAGAATGAATCAAGAAAATAAAACATTACACCAGTGGTATGATTTAGTAATTGTCTGACTTATACTTTTTGTAGACACTTTAGTTTTATTAAAATTGTCATTCTGATTTTTTTACTGACGTGAGTCTATATAAAAAGTTGAATACAAGTTTCACGGACTACATTTCTTTACTATTATTATTATTTGTCTCTATGCATGATTAACTGAAAATAATTTTGTTGTATAAAGAAGTAATGTTGATACAGTTTGGCTGTGTCCCTACCCAAATTTCATCTGGAATTATAGTTCCTGTAATTCCCACATGTTGTGGGAGGGACCCCATGGGAGATCATTGAATCACTGAGGCAGTTTTCCCCATACTGCTCTCATAATAGTGAATAAGATCGGATGATTTTATAAGGGGTTTCCCCTTTCACTTGGCTCTCATTCTCTCTTGCCTGTCACCAGGTAAGATATACCTTTTCACCTTCTGCCATGATTGTGAGGCCTCCTCAGCCACGTGGAACTAAGTCCATTAAACCTCTTTTCCTTTATAATTTACCCAGTCTTGGGTACGTCATTATCAGCAGTGTGAAAATAGACTAATAAAGTAAATTGGTACTGGTAGAGTGGGGCGCTATCATAAAGATACCCAAAAATGTGGAAGTTACTTTGGAACTGGGTAGCAGGCAGAGAGGATGGAACAGTTTGGAGGGCTCAAAAGAAGACAGGAAAATGTGGAAAAGTTTGGAACTTCCTAGAGACTTGTTGAATGGCTTTGACCAAAGTGCTTATAATAATATGGACAATCAAATCCATGCTGAGGTGGTCTCAGGTGGAGATGAGGAACTTGTTGGGAACTGGAGTAAAGGGGACTCTTGCTATGTTCTAGGAAAGAAAGTGGTGGTATTTTGTCCATGGCCTAGAGATTTGTGGAACTTTGAACTCGAGGGAGACAATTTAGGGTATCTAGCAAAATACATTTCTAAGCAGCAAAACATTCAAGAGGTGACTTGGGTGCTGTTAAAAGCATTCCATTTTAAAAAGGAAACAGAGCATAAAAGTTCAGAAAATTTGCAGCCTGACAATGCAATAGAAAAGAAAAACCCATTTTCTAAGGAGAATTTCAAACTAGCTACATAAATTTGCATAAGTGACAAGGAGCCAAATGTTAATCACCACGACAATGGGGAAAATATCTCCAGGCCATGACAGAGACCTTCCTGGCAGCCCCTCCCATCACAAGCCCAGAGGCCTAGGAGGAAGAGATGGTTCCATGGGCTGGGCCCAGGGCCTTCACTGCTGTGTGAACCCGAGGGACTTGGTGCCCTGGATCCCAGCCACTCTGGCCATGGCTGAAAGAGGCCAATGTAGAGCTCAGGCCATGGCTTCAGAGGGTGCAAGCCCCAAGCCTTGGCAGCTTCCTTGTGGCGTTGAGCCTGCAGGTGCACAGAAGTTGAGAACTGAGGTTTGGGAACCTCCACCTAGATTTCAGAGGATGTATGGAAATGCCTGGATGTCCAGACAGAAGTTTGCTGCAGGGGAAGGGTCCTTATGGAGAACCTCCTCTAGGCCAGTGCAGAAGAGAAATGTGGAGTTGAAGCCCCCACAAAGAGTCCCCACTGGGGTACTGCCTAGTGGAGCCATGAGAAGAGGGCCACCATCCTCCAGACCCTAGAATGGTAGGTCCACTCACAGCTTGCACAGTGTACCTGGAAAAACCACAGGAACTCCATGTCAGCCTGTGAAAGCAGCCTGGGGGGAGGCTGTACCCTGCAAAGCCAAAGGGGTGGAGCTGCCCAAGACCACAGGAACCTATCTCTTGCATCAGAATGACCTGGATGTGAACATGTAGTCAAAGGAGACCATTTGGAGTTTTAAGATTTGACTACCCCACTAGATTTCAGACTTGCATGGAGCCTATAGCCCCTTTGCTTTAGCCAGTTTTTCCCATTTGGAATAGCTGTATTTACCCAATGCCTATACCCCCACTGTAGCTAGGAAGTAACTAACTTGCTTTGATTTTAAGACTCATAGGTGAAAGGTACTTGCCTTGTCTTAGATGAGGCTTTGGACTGTGGACTTTTGGGTTAATGCTGAAATGAGTTAAGACTCTGGGGAACTGTTGGGAAGGCATGATTGGTTTTGAAATGTGAGGACATGAGATATGAGAGGGGGCAGGGAAGGAATGATATGGTTTGGCTGTGACCTCACATATATCTCACCTTGAATTGTAGCTCCCATAATGTTGTGGGGAGGGGACTGGTGGGAGATAATTGAATTATGGTACAATTTCCCCCATACCATTCTCTTGGTAGTGAATATGTCTCACAAGATCTGATGATTTTATAAGCGGTTTCCCCTTTCACTTGGCTCTCATTTTCTCTTGTCTGCTGCCATGTAAGACATGCCTTTCACCTTCCACCATGCTTGTGAATCCTCCCACTTCAGTTTCCCAAAGCACTGGGATTACAAGCATGAGCCACTGTGCCTGGTCTTTTTCATTTTAATTGCAGACACCGTTCTTTAGTACTTGCATGCTTGTGAGGCCTCCCAAGCCACGTGGAAATGTGAGTCCATTAAACTCTTTTCCTTATAATTTACCCAGTCTTGTGTATGTCTTTATCAGCAGCATCAAAATGGACTAATACAAAGATGGTTAACAAAAAAAAGAAAATCATTCACCCCAGGGTGAGCTATGATCCCAAATGATAAAATGAGTTCTGACTTTTAATTGGTTGGTTGGTTGGTGGGTTGGTGGTTGGTTGATTGGTTAGTCCTGCTAAAGAAAAAATTATTCACTGATACTTATTAAAGCACAGTAGGCCAGATTTTAGTCAGGACCATCTCCATAGGTGTAGGGACAATGGCAATGGGGTCTTGCAGTGGAAGAGATTGTGTTCAACTCTTAATATAACATGGGCAAGTGGGAATTTATAGCCATGTAGAAGGGTAGAGAAGGAAGGATAGAAAATTCCTAAGAGGAAACATCATGGGTAACGAAAGGGATGGGTTCTGGCTACAATGATCCAACAGGATTCTTGCTAAAGATAGACCAGAGTGATTAGATATTACCTGGGTGGTGGTGGAGGATGAAGAACCTGATCAGATGTTGAGGGTAGGGAGTTCCTGATACATTGACTTAATAGTTTTCTTGCAAAAACAGGATTTTTCAAGGGATTACACAGAGGGGTATAGGAGATATGTTAAAAGCCTTACTAAAGTTTCGTCAAGAAAATAATCTTTGTCATTTGATTTAAACTCTTTCTACTTCCTTTTTCTTCACTAGCTAGGACCTAAACATGCCGACTTTGAGGTTTAGTATTTCAAAGAGCTTTGAAGTGTAATGCTGTGAGACGACATGGGACTATGAGTTTTTCAAACACCCACAAATCACATTTAAATTCAGGCTTCCAACAACCAGTGGAAACTACACGGCAACTGGAACACGTTAGAATCGGGGTCAAGAATGAAAAGCCACCACAATGGTAAAGCACAGGGTTTTGCAACTTAACCAGTTGTCCACAGTTCAAGCAAGGAGGGACCAATCTAACAGGAACAGAGACGCAAGAAATAGAACCAGCCCCAGGAAATCCAGTATTCAAGCTAAGATGCAGAAGGCCCTAGCACACCCTCTCCCCACATATGCCTGCACCATAAGTATGTACTAACAGTTAAAAAGAAACGATTTTATGTTTCTTTCCTCCTAGAGTTACAGCCATCCTTCATTTATCCATTTATTCATTCATTCATTCTCAATTGTACAAGCACTATGTGCCAGGTACTGTGTGAACGATGGGGATACAGTGGTGAGCAAAGCCCTTCCCCTGTGGATTTTATGGTCTAGCATGTGAAGCAAAAGTCCACTAACTCGTGACACACGTCACCAATCGAGGAGAGTGCCATGTGAGATAGTTTCAGGCTTTGAGAGGCCAGAGCAGATCAGCTGAGACTGGTGCCTGAGGCACAGCTTTCCTCAGAGGACATGGTCCTTCCCAGGTGTGAAGCATGTGCTGGCTTTAACCAGGCAAGAGACTGGGCAGAGAGAAAGAGAGCCAGGAGCAGGCTTGGTGAGGGGGGCCTGTTTGAGGGCCAGGAGGAAGGGCTGTGAGGGCAAGAGCAGCAAGCTCAGGGAGAACTGACAAAATGAGGCCCCAAAGAAAGGCGGGCATGTCACACAGGGTCATGGCAGAATGTTAGACTTTATCCTAGGAGCATCAGGAAGCCCCTGCAGGCTCCAAGAACAATGGTGAAACACTCAGACTACCACGTCAATATGTCCACTGTGTCTATGCCATACACACAGCACAAGAGTGGGAGCCACACTGGTCCAGTTGAAAGGGCTGGGAA